TATTAACACTGTTGGCGTGTCACGGAGCCGAATACCCGGATAGCCGAAAAATAAGTTCGTTCTTGGATAGCCGAAAAATAATTTCGTTCCCGGATAGCCGAAAAATAAATTCGTTCCCGGATAGCCGAAAAATATAAAAAACTATTAAGGGCGCCCAAACTGAGGGCCCAAATTAAGGGCCACCAACTTAAATTATAGTGATAATGCAGAGGCGGATCTAGGATTTTCTCAAGTGGGGGGGGGGGGGGGGGGGGACAAGTGCTTAAAACAACAGGCCAAAAATGTTGTTTTTCGGATTTTTTGAAAAATTTAATAAAACAAATTGCTTTTTCAGCGCGTGCTCCAATTTATAGTTAGTATATATTGAAAAATTTAAGAGTTTGTCGGCCGAAAATGGATGTCATAAAAAAACCAAAGAGGAACCCTTTGATTGGTGAGGGGCCGCATGCCTGTAGTAGTCGGGCTTTTGTTGTTAATTAACTGGGTCTACTTAACAATTGCCCCCCCCCCTCTTTTTAAAAGGGGGGGGGGGAATTCGTAAGTAGATTAAATTAACGCATTTTCGACCAATCAGATTGCAGCAAAAATCTTTGTATAGAATTCTCAATACAAATCTCTAGCGCTAATTTACTATTTAATTAAAGGGGGTGGCAATTCTTAAGTAGATACCAAAGGGAGGGCGTTTGTAAAGTAGATCCAATTAATTCAATGAGATTTTACTGATGATGACTTTTTGTAGAAAACGTTTTATGCAACATTGATGTTTTTCCCAATATCAGTTCAGTGAGAGTAAGAGAATAAGCCAATCAAATCTCTTAAAAAGGTTCGGATTTTTGTTAGCTAACAGGCTGCAAAATTTTGAGGCACATTTTTGTCCAATCAAAATGCGTCTCAATTTAGTGGTAGGTTTTCTGATTTAATTTAATAAGAACAGGAGGTATTTACTTTTTTCGGCTATCCGGGAATGCGGCTCCGTGGGTACGCACCGATAAAATTAGCTCAAATGCTGATTGTTATCACCACTTAAATTTGGCACGGATGTATGTAACTTGCACTCTTTCGCATACACTAGCAAAAAATAAACAGCTATTTGAGCAAATGGAAAAAAAAAGTTTATAACCCAACACGCTATGTTAAGTTTCAAAACTTTTTAAGGATTACTAGACCAAATAAATAGCTTCTCTCAACTCCAATTGCTAAAACTTTCGAGCTAGTTGTTTTCGATCCGAGCTCAAGGCAGTAATATTTTTCATGCCATATAAAAATCAGAAAAAAAGTCCGTTCAATATCCTTAGCATCAGTTTTAGTTTAGCGTCGGTTTATATGCAGATACTGTAAAAAAAACAGAATATAGAATTTGACAAAAAATGCGCAACAACGGTTGGAAGTAACTTAACACAAACATTGTTAAGGGAACTTCTATGCTTGAAAAATAGATGAAGGCAACATCTATACGAATGTAACAGAATGTACAAAGATAGTCTCAGAAAAGAAAACTGAATTTCTTGCTCTCTTCGACAAATTGGCAAAAAAATTTAGACCAATTTTTTTCAATTCACTTAATGTTTGATCCAAATCTCGAATAACACGGCTTCAAGAAGTTACCACACTTAAAACGCTTCAAACAGCCTTTAAGGCATCCAATCGGCTAATTAAAACCGGCTTGACTTCGAACATATGGAGCATTTCGCTGTGATCCGTTATCGGTCTCATTAAAAACGAGTGAAGTACATATATATTTTTTTCGTGGTCGCGATACTCTTTCTTGACATACTTTAACATACAGCTTAAAACAAATCCATCGAAAACTGCCCAATCCAAATATTTCATCGGATGTGAAGCGGAGCTTTGCAAAATTTGCGATACAGAGAAGGAAATAATATAAAAACTACCAAATAATTTTCGTTATCAATCTCATTGAACATTCAAATCAAAACATAATGACAATTGACAATGTTCAAACTAACAAACATTTCAGTCCGAACAGAAACATTTTTTAGAGTTTTGTCAGAAAAAAAAAGAAAACTAAACCTTATTCTAAGACAATCATATCACATACTTTTTGCTATTGATTGGCTACAATGAAAGTCGCACCTGTTTTGTTACGAAAATTGAAGACCAAAAGCAGCAGTGTGTACGATATGAAGAATGATCAATTCATAAACTCAAAAAAAAATCAGTAAAGTCAAAGACCATATTTCTCGGTCCAATACGGTGTGAAACATAAACAGAGAGGTGATGCAGAGCTTCGCATCAATTGCAATCCAACGCAAGCGCAGCATTGCAAGCTATTGAAAATTGAGACGGAAAACGAGGCGAACAAAACCACCATTGGTAAGTAAGCTTTTAGTATTTACCGAGCGGCCACTAAGCCGACAACAAGTGGTTAGACGCCCATTGAGCCAAAAACAATAAAAATGACATAAAAAATTGTTGTCATAAAAATTTTTCGAGCTATTAAGTTACAAGACTTTGAAAACTAGCAACATGGACTAAACTTTTCAAAACAAAAATCAATCATGCTTAGGTTCACTAATAAAACAACTTTATACAACTACTTACAAATTTGAAAGAGAAGCTATCTACGGGAAAAAAGTCTTAATCCCGATTGCAAGACGCTTGCTCTCACAAGTGTGAAGATGAACTGGGAAAATACGTCACCCACTTACACTCAACGAACTCGGAATTTTTTGATTCTTTACCTCACTTCAAGTTTGTCTAGTCGTCTTCCAAATTATCCAAACCAAGCGACAAAAATATTATGACGGAATAAAAGATTAATCGAGAGCTATAAAACAGTAAACATAAAATCGGAAACTTGATCATCTTTGAACTCTGACCATTTTGAGAAAATTTCATCACAGAATTTCAAACTTCAAAAGTAAAAAGATTTGATATGATGTTGAAAACTCAACGTGATGTCACAATAGTTAACTAATTGGGGAAAAAGTCACAACTTCACTAAAAACTTTATAAACTACTTCAAAACTATTCCTTTTCATATTCAAAAAGAGTTTCGCAATTCTTGAAACTCATTTGGTATAATCTTGTTCAAAAGAAGCACCTTAATAAAAATTACATTCAAAGCCTGAGTGAAAAAAATGTCTAAAACCCAATTAATTTTTTATTGAGTCTAATTGATTTCATGTTGCGATCTCAGATATCAAAATCAATGTTATGTCGTTCCAAAGATTGCCAGTAAAAGGGAACAAAACCAGTTAGGCTTAAAATCATGCATGAAGCAATAATCCGTAAATCATACTTAACACAGACGCGAAGCGGTGCTTCGCATCTCCTGCGATACAATGCAAGCAGAGCTTTGCAAGCTAGAGCATAGAAATTAAGACGGAAATAATAAAATGGAAAAAACGAAAAAAAATCTGTCCAAAAAAAACAACAACCAAGAAACGCAACCAATAGCAATTTTAGGCTTTTCAAACTTACCATGCTGCCACTATTTGACAAACCGTGATAGTTTTCCATGGATTTCAACAGCGCAACTGATCTGAAGTACTTTCCTAAATTATAATAATCACTTTTTTGCTTTCAGGAGACACGAAGTTGACGCAGCCCATTAAAATTCAGACAAAACTATTAACGCCGAATAAAGCTTCTAAGCGAGAAAAAAAAAATAAAAAACACAATTACTAAAAAATACTAAACAATTGCATGTGCATTTGATATTGCTTACAACGCAAGAAGCATCCGAGATGTAACATCTAAGCCGACCAAACGAAATTGAATTCAACTTATGGAAAAAATTGTTCCATTTCATACATACTGAAAAAAAATCCGGCCGGGACACAAATCCTAGACTTTAGGGTGCAAAAGATAACCGCGTTACCTCTAGATCAATTCAAAATGATCTAGAAATTAACTAAGGGTTAAAAAATTCAATTTCTTACAGATTTCAAAGAAAGAAATTTTAACGAGAAAATGAGTCTACGTAATTAATATTATTGTAACATAATTATTATTGCCTGAAAAAAACTTATTGAAGTCGACATCACTGAAGAACAGAAACTGAAAAACAGGCAATAATTACAGAATCGAAGCTACGCTTCGCAAACGCTTGCGAGAACACGACCAAAAAGCAGCTCTATCAAGTGAAAACAGAAAAGGTCGAAATACGCTTGGAATTAGCAAAAACTCGGCTACATGTCAATGAAGCAAAAAATTAGCATCAAATACAAAAAGAGACAATTTTGCAAGTATTTATTTGGAATACAAAAAACTGATGTCATCCACGCTGACTTTGCATGTAACAAACTGGAAAGCATAAACCCACATTATGTATAAATTATGCATTTCAAAAAAATCGAGATATATTGAGATAGAAATCGGTTTTTTATTATCGTTATCTTGTTTGAAACAAATAGTTTTTTGCGGTTCATTTGATGAAATCAAAATGCATCAAATGTGTCAATTTACTACTATTCAAAATTCAAAGAAATTAAAACGAAAACAAGAAATCCGAAAAAACGAACATTTTTTACCACCCAACTTGAACTAAGAGTTAGTTTTGTTTGATTTCTCAAGAAATTGAGCATGTCAGCTTTTGAGCATGACAGATCGAGCATGTCGGCAGAACGGTTCCTGATTACAAGTCACTTGCTCTCATAAATGAAATAAAACGACGCACCCAAAAAGTATCAATCTACGGAAAAAAGCTTGTTAATTCAGCAAAACTGTTTCAAATGTTTGTCAATAAATTTCATGGATGGAAAAAATGATAGTCATACCATTCCAATCATGGAAATAACGCTAGGCATGTAATTTTTTTCTCATATGGAATAGCATGGAATTGTATACAAGCTTTTTCCCATAAATTATAATAGTAAGAATAGCATTGTTTGTCAACCCGGGTTAATTCAAAATAAACTTAGAAAACTTTTTATATTTTTTAATTCATTTTTGTTTCAATCTCATATTGTCGGAACAACGACTGGTTACCCTTTAGCCATACCTATTATGTGAACATCCTGGAAAAACAAGCAGGAAAAATATATTTATGAAACCCTTTGATAATAAATACAGCACATTTAATGAAATATAATCTACCAGCATATAGTTTGGCCCTCTCCTTAAACAACTCGAGCGAAAATTTACAGGAGTTTTAACAATTGATTGCGTTTTGCATTATTAATTCAACAATCTATACAGAAATATTTAATTTAGACATCCAGCATGTCATTACCTCACATAAACTACAGCACAGCACATGAAAATATTTTCCCAGCACAGCATATGAAAATATTTTCCAAAAAGTAGCAAGCAACCAATTTTTAACTTGGTATTTTTTGAAAACTTAGATAAGTTTGAACCCTTGAGACAATAAGCATATGCACCTACAGACTTAGATTCAAAACGTCGTATTCCCATAAATCAATTGATTCTTGATTGTATTGTTTTGTGAACTTAAGCTTTTGAAGGATCTCTTCAGTTCAAATCCAGCACTTAAGATGCCGCTTTTAAACTTGACTAGAGTCAAAACAGACTGTGTCAAAATATTCACCCAATTTCTTTATCACAATGTCTAGCAGTTCAGTTATTTTATATCATCTTCATTGGGTTAAGTGTGTCTTTGTAGTCTGTAGTGTAGCTCCCTGTACTGCAACTGAAACCATTCGATCCATTCAAGTATTGCTGCGGGGTCGTGAACCTCCTTGGAACGGCATCCGACGACCCCTGATTGCCATATGAGGACTTGTTATGGTCATGGAAGGTACCATGGTTATTGTCATCACTTCCGTGGTAATGCCCATGACTGTTTCCTCCGTCATGACTATGACCATGACTTCCTCCATGTTCATGACTATGGCCATGACTTCCTCCATTTTCATGACTATGACCATGATTGCTGTCGTGGCTATGACTATGTCCTCCATTTGAGCCATGGTCATGGCTATGTCCATGACTTGAATGGCCATTGCTGTTTGAATGTTCGGAGCATGATTTGTTGTAGTAGAATTTGGTGGCAGCACTCAACTGTGTCCAGTCATCTTTGAAGATTTCGACAGTCACATTTGAGCTCGAAGCTGATGACGAAAGACGACTTAATACATGTGCCAGAACCATCTGCTCGTTCGCATCTCTTCTTACTCGCACTTGTACACTGCCGCATAAATTATTGAAACCTATGGTCCAAAAATGCTCTCTTCTGAACTCCAAAACCCCATCGAGTGTGGATACTTCTCGGAGCGATTTCTCCAGTTGTCCCACCACATGCGAGGGCGTTGTCTGCACCAGAATCTTGCCCGAGTAAACGCTGAGGGGTAGCATGGTGACAAACATCATGAAGGAGATTATGGCGGCTGCTACAGTGTCGAGGATTATGTAGGAGCTGGCACTCACTAGGAATGTGGACCCTAGGAGCAGGGTCGAGCAACTGAGTCCAATGAGCACTACTGAATTGATTCTGGGAAGCAGCAACTTGTCCAGTCCAGGAACTATTGCACACAATGCACGGCTCACATCAGCCACGTGTTCCTGGAGCCAACTCGAAGGTGCAGTCGTGATGACATGAGTCATTGCTGGGTTTCTGATTCCATACGTGATAAACAGATGATAGGGCAATGACATGCCAGTTCCCAATAGTACCATCACTGGCTCTATCTTTTCGTCTGAATGTGGCACTAAAATATGTTCCACACTTTCTTTGAACACGATGAAACATCCTAACATTGCCAGCATACTGCTAGAAAACACAGCCAACACCTCACATCTGGAGTAGCCGAAAGAGAATAGGGAACTTGTGGGTTGCCTGGACACCCATATTGACACTATGCAAGTAATCAGACTGAACAGATCGAATATGGCCAGAAACACCAGACATCTGAATGCTAAAGAGTGTGTGCTTTCTGTGATATAAGTGAGGAAAATGACTAGGAAAATGTTGAATGAAAGCGCGAACACTGGTTTTCGTGCCCTTTGGTCCGCGAATAACAATGGCAGCACATTTAAAGCGTCTTTAAACTGCAGAAAAGAAGAACTTTCTTCGGTGGCAAATGAGTCCACGTTCAAATTGACCTGATTTGATTTTGATTGGTCGACTGTGTCATGGAATGCGCTGTTCTGATTGGTCGAGAGGACTGATCTAGAGCGGACCTTGTCGCTGAGTGGCTCATTTGGCTTTTCACTGGCTACCAGCCCACTCATCAAATTTATCTGAAATTCATATTTTTTCTTAATTATTATAAACAAAAAACATATTCGTGTTTTTTTTTGTAGAACAGCCAGAAATGCTAAAAGAAAGATTTTCAAACAATTTGAATTTATAAATTTGTACAAATTCCTAATTCTTAGTTAAAAATTTTGAATTTTTAAACATTTATGTGATAATCTAAGCGATTTTGGCTAGCAGCCAAGAAATATAGCACGAAAAGTATCTGTGAAAAGGAGAAACTAGGCAAACAGTAACTGCTAGTAGGAATTGTATCTGGAAAAGATAATTTTGCAAACCTATCCTGAAACTTTAAAGGTACACTTGCAACACGAATTTCAATTTTGTAAACTGCCAGTTCATCGAAACATGTGACCAAATAAGTCAAGCGAAAACGAACAAGCAACTTTTTTAATAAGGTTGGTGGTTAAATGCAAACATTTTCATAAGGCCTAAGAATTTGAGGGCAAATAATTATACACTGTTTCAATCAGATTGATAACAAATTTGAGCTTGTGCTCTTATCCAGGGATCGTTTTGGCATGAAATAATTTCCGAGTAAAGCCGAACGAACAAAAATAATCGCTGGCGTTCTTCGTTCTGATTTTTGGCTAGGTTTTTCTTTGTTTGATTCTTGGTTGCTTCTTTCTCTTCGGTTGTCTCTTCTCATCGTGACTTGTGAGTGGTTGATGACGTCATTGTTAGTGCTGTTCTCCCCCCTCCTGTTCGGTCCAGAGTACTAGATTGTCCCTCAGCAGTTGCATGATGAGTGTGGCATCCTTGTAGGAGTCGCCCTTCGAGTTGTCCAACTCACTCAATGCTTCATCGAATGCCTAGAACAGGAAGATGCTTATGGAGACTTTGTTTGATATAAACCTCAACAACTTACGGTTCTATTCAAACTCAATTAGGCAATTTTGAACTGTCAGATAAGTCTAAGTTGTTCCATCTAACGAAAGAGAGAGAGAGAGAGAGAGAGAGAGAGAAAGAGAGGGCGGATAGAAGAGGCAATTTGAAGCGAGTGAATGGTACTTACAGCCTTGGCGATGTTGCAGGCTTTGTTCTTGTCCTCCAGTATCTCGTAGTGGAACACACTGTAGTTGAGAGCCAGACCCAGTTTGGCCGGGTGGGTGGAGGGCAGGATCTCACACGCAGTCCACGCACTCTCATAAGAGTCTTGGCTGGTCTTGATGTTCTCTACAAACAACCCAGAAAACAGACTCTCATTCAAAATAATCTCATTTAATACTCGTTCCATTAAAAACACAATTAATGGACATAGTGAGAACCACTGTCTCCTCCGGCTCCCAAAAATTTTTTTGGAGACCATTCACATGGTTACAAACATTATTTTTATTTTTCAGCAAATAACTATTCAGCATTTTACATTTTAATTTACTCTATAAACTTGTCATTTAATTTGAGAAAATAGGTTAGTTTAGGGGAAAGGGTTTTAACTTCATTCCAAGTGATGTGCTAACCTTTTCTGCTTCTGTTTGTGTCGATGTTGGGTTCGGCCATGTACCTGTAGTAGTCTCCTCTCATCTTGAGAAAAAACACCTTAGAGTCCACATTCTCAGTGGCCAGCGGCAACAGTTGCTCCTCCAGAATCTGCAATACCTCCTTACATTTCCCAGTCAAATCATGGAAGATCTTCTCTTTGTAACTCTTGGCTAGTTTCTTCAAATGATCGTCTGTCGTTTTGGTCTCTACTGCGCCTAATGCTTTAAACGATGCTCGCCTTAGTCCGACTAGGTTTTTGTACGCGACCGATAGCAGATTTCGCTCTTCTTCAGTCGGCAGTTCGTTTTTGTTCACCACTATTTCGATCACTCTCTTCACGAACTCAATCATCTCGTCGGGTCTTTCAGCTTGCTCTGCAAGTTTGGCCATGCTTACAAGGTCTTCGCGGGATGACATGTTGTGAGGGTGCAGATATCTAAGTTGTGTTGTGATATTCTAAATTGGCAAGAGTAAGTAGCGAATGGTGCAGCAGATATAATATATGTGGATATGTGGCACTTTTCTGAGGATAACTTTCAAGCCGCAAAGAAAGGCAATGTACAAATAAAAAACAACAATCTGAAATACAGGACAGGTTTACTCTTTCTTTCCAAAAATATCAACCTTTTGTCTTTAAAAGAAGTAGAATTTGAGAGTTTATGTTGTGTTTCAGGCGGAGCAGAAAAAGACGCGTCAGCTGATTGTTTCATTGGTCAATCTTGTCGGAATCATTGCCACTATATGCGTAAGTGAACAGAACTTCATTTTAATTTTACGAATACTTTCTTCTACTACCTAGAACAAACGCTGGTATAATTTATTCTAAGACTAATAACATCTATACTCTTATTCATGGTTCAAAATCTAGTGTTCGCCTTTGAATGGTTACGAAAAAGGGTCCTTGAGTCTGATTATGCTTATGCGTAAGAGTGTTGGTGTGTTTAGGCTGTGACAACTGGGCTGTCGAAGGAGGGCGTGAGAGCAGTGATTGGGTTCGGCAGCTGCTACTTCATCGCCACCGCCTCATTCTCCACAGGGTACAACTAACCCACTCAACTACTCCAACTACCCATAACTACTCGTTATAAATACTCCACTAGTACTAAACAATAAGTATCTCAGCCGAATAGTACAGTTAGAAACACATATTATCCACAACACAATTTGAAAAATATCTTGCCGTTTCAGAAGGAATATTTTCGATAATACCCAATAAACACTTACACCTGTCAATATTTTTCCTTGAAATCAATTCTGGTGTCTAAATTTTACCCCAAGATATTTTTGCATAATTTAGGCTTTTCATGTTTAGTATCTTCTACTTGTGCAAATTGAACCAAGTGTTGCGAGATGGATCAGGTGGAGGAGGGGGAGGGGGGAGACTTAGAGGGGCTATGTTGTCGTGTGGGTGGGTGCGGGTGAGACCCCGTACTAGTCTGCTGCTAGTGTACTTGCTGCTGCTGGTGCCCATCATAGCCTCCGTCTTCTATCCTCACAACTGGCTACTCACTAGTTCTCTCACTCTGCTCCAGACTGCACTCATCTCCATGTTAGTCAACCCCAACACAACACAACACAACTACCAGTATAACTAAATCCAACACACTTCAACAACTAACACTTGCAGAAAACAAAAACAACAACAACTGCTGTAGCTAATAAAACTTTCTCAGAACTATTCTTGTAAAGTAATCTGGGCAGGGGCAGATCTAGGATTTTCTCGAGGGGGAGGCGGATTTAAACAAAAATCGAATATTTTGGAAACGTTTTTTCGCCGCACGCTCCCCCCTCAAAACTGGTATATTTTGGCTCCTTTAGAAAAATTTTCCAAAATAGTGGTACAAAGGTACTATAAATCCACCCCTGCTAACAATACTGAAGTTAACATGCATTTTATACTCACACAAACAATTAGGTATAGCAATGTTCCTTTGAAGTCTTTGCTGCATTTACAAAGAAAACTATCACCGAAAGATATGGATGGACTTTCACCTCAGCGTTTAAGACACTATGGTTGATGTAACTCTGTAATGTGTTTTAGATACTCTTTTTTGGAGCTGAGGAAATCCGCCCGCTTTTGGGCAACTTGCACAGAAATATTTTCGTAGAGAGAAGAAAGAGGCTCCTAACTACTTATTTGCGACCAAACTAGAATGATTGATTGACTATTTGATATTTACAGTTTGTAGACTCGAGCTATTCAAATTGACAATTGTGATTAGTGTTTTCGAAATAAAAACAGAAGTAATCAATTGTTTTGCAAGTAGCACAGAATTTTCGATCCACATAAACCTTTCCTAAAAAAGAAATGTAAAAAATGAAGTTTTAAATTTTGTAGTTTCGACGACGAAGGGTTTTTAATTTTTTTACGCTAAGTCATATACCACAGATTACTAAAACTTAGCCAAAAAGCAGTTAGAAAAAGGTCAATGAACGCAAGGAAACAGAAAAAAAACAGACGTGTTCATTGAAAATACGCCATTTTTTGAAATTCGAAGCAAAAAATAGACGGCCTTCAAGCAGTTTGAATTTCGAGAACAATTTAAGTTTGGCATGTTTTTGATAAAATCAACCCCATTTGAGAAAACTGCATTATAAGGTATAAGTTTTTATTCTACTGGGAAATCTGAAAATTGAATTGCACTTTCGAAACTAGAAGTCGATCAAGTTTTTCGTGAACTTTACACTTTTGCTGTTCGATGGTGGAGTTCGCCTTCTGATTGAACTGAACTTCGAAAAAAAAAATTAAGCGTGAACAAGACTTTTCCTGAGAAAAAAAGAAAGAAAAAATCATCACTACCAATATAAGTGTAGAACCGAGTTGTTTCTTCCCTCATAATTACTGAAACAATATACTGTACCTGTCTCAAAACTAATTTTAGGAAGTATCTATTAGCACTATCTCCTCGAAAAAACTCAAAAGTACATAAATCTGAAATTTTAGGAATGAGCATTTCTTTTCCAGGGAAAATTGCGCTTTCGTTTTTGCTCATCAGTTTTAGAGGAACTCAATAGTCGACCAAACCCATTACAAACTTTCCTTGCTTACTTTTAGTCACTCGGCACAAATTTGACTGTCGAAGCTGTACTTCGCAAACAAGCAAAAAAACTTACAGACGTTTGCAATTCAAATATAAAAATCATACAGTAACAAGTACTGAAACATTATTTGAGTCTAAAAGGAACTCATTTGGAGCATTTAGCATGTTTCAATTCAAATCGAAACGATTATTTGGAAGCACCGGAATTTGGATTATTTCGCAAAAGTTGTTTTCCCTCGTTTTTTTCTCAAAAACATTAAAGCCCAGAAACAAACTTTAACACAGAGGCGAAGCTTTGCTTCAAACCAATTTTCGAGAACACAACAAAAAGCATCTCTATACAGTGCAATCATAAACATTTAAAAGCAGCCTCGAATTAGTTAAAATTCGGCTACTTCTGCGATTCGAACCAGCGACCAAGAAATTAAGAATCTCACATACTGACCACTCAACCACGGAAGCTTAATAGACACCAAACACTATAGACAACAAATAAAACAGAGAACAGATGCTATGCAATTTCCTATGTTCCAATGCTACAGTGAAATTTCCAAATAAGTGAACCCTTTTAATGAACACGTTTATTTGCGAGTTAGATTAGAAGAAAAGCAGGTTCATAATAACTTACTATGTTGATCGCAGATATAAATACAAACTGGCATTAAAATGAGCGACTTGCGTTGGAAAATATAGGACTGCAATTAAACTACGCTGAACAGCTGGCTTTTTAAAGAAAACGAAAGTTGTTTTTCCTATCTTTCTTTTTTAAAATAACTGGTCGGAAACTTAAGTGCTACTTGCACAGCAACTAGATAGCCTTGGTAATTCACAACAAAGAATTTATCGCAAATGCTTTTTTGGAATCATCAGAATCAGGTTGGAAAGGGAGTAAATGTGATACCACCGTTGAACCCAACGAGCTTTCCTTGAAGTGCCTATATATGGTGGGAAAACAACACACGGTGATTTCCTTCCCTGAGAGGTTTAGCAACAATGGTATTAGACAATCAAGCTTGAAGAATAAGACGAGGAGTGAAAATCTAATTTATTCATTCTTCGCGATGAGCTTTTATTCGGCAAACACTCATGGAATGATAACACTCAGAAAGAACCAATGAAGCTGAAATGAAACATCGTATTTTAAAAGTGCATGTAGTATTTTGAATGTGTTGCATGTTAGTCGATTATGCAGAAACAAAATCTTGGTATCTGCAAGGCAACGGACAAACGCGATGAGATAACTTCATAAAAAAACTTTGCCATAAAAAAACTTTGCCAACAAACGCGAAGGGTCACAAAAATTTGCCATTGCCATCACTTTTCTTTCTGCGGAAACACAAATCTCGACTGAAATTATACCACTAACGGTCTTCAGACTGAGCGTGAATGCGGCTTCTTTCATAAATAAAAAAATAAAACATAAAACCATCTCAGAAAAAAAGAAATCAGCAAACAAAAGAGATATTGCACTCCGAAAATCGTTTTGGAGCAAAAAGTTTCAGTCATCTTGAATCAGAAAAATCAGACAACTTGCGAAAATTTCGAACGCTAGTCAGGGATAGGATATGAATAAACAAGATACAAAAAATAAAAAGGATGGCCTACATTACATAAATTTTTTTTCAAGTTAGTTTGTGCGCTGTGTGATAAAAGGATCAGATAAAAGCCTACAACTTAGAAAAATCTATATTCATAGTAACATATGCAAATTGGTCAACAATCTCCGCCAAAAATGACAACAAACAAAACTAAAACAATTAAAATATTCGACAAAAATCTTAAATTCTTTTAAACTTTTTTGAATTCTTGAAGTTTTTTATTTCGAAAACGGCGCTAGAAAACTTCGAGAAACAATTGTGCTGGAGTAAAACAAACGGAGATATCCTACTGAGTTATCTTACTTTAATAAACCTACTCGCTCGAAATTGAACTGAAACCAGTTTTTCTCGACACTGGGACAACTTTTTGAAACTTTTTAAATGTCGTTCGAATCAGCGCTGAAAGGGCTTCAATATAAATCATTCCATTCAATCCAATTAACATTTGTGGCAAAATATTTGGTGGATAAAAACAATATAAGTCTGCTGGCTCACTTTATTCGCTCGAACATAAAAAATCAATAACTTTCAAAAATTTTAGAGAATTTTTAATGTAGCTCGAATAACGACTGAAAGGGCTTTAATATGATACATCCCTCGACCCATTCCGATGATTCTTTGCTGCACCTAATTTTGCATGGAGAACAAAAAATTAAAACACACCCAAATACAAAGTTCCTCCCTATTTTCAATATCGGCAAAAAAAAACAATTTTGGGAGTCTTAGTTAGTTAGTAGGAATCTTCTACTTAACTTAATTTTCATAATCAAATCTTAATTGCCGAGCAAGTATAGAATATATCTCCAAAAGAAATTTAGCTTTTTGCCACCTCTTTGGACATCGTCTTTTTGTGCGGTCTACTTTCTGGCCAGTATTTGAGAACATTTCCGGACTTTCAAAACACTGTTACACTTTTCTGTTCAATTATCAACTTTCCCGAGTATATTTTCATCAACCAACAAGATCACCAATATAGCAATAATTCAAAGATAATCAAAAAATAACTTATAACTAGCTAGAAGAAAATCACGCATACTATTTTCCAACCCTGATCTTTATATTCAATCCACGTCAGAATCTGCAGCACCTTCTCAGTCGGCCTTTTCTGGTTTCCGTTGTGCAGAATAGCCGTTTTTGTCTCTCGCCTCCATCGCCAGTTCTGTGGTTCTCAACGTGGCATTTCTGACCGCGTCTATGATCAAGCCTCTGAATCCGGCTGTGTCCAGAGTGTGTATGGCAGCGATGGTGGACCCCCCGGGGGAGCAGACGTCGTCTTTGAGTTTGGAGGGGTGTTCAGTCGTCTCACTTACCATCATGGCCGATCCGAGAACTGTCTGTACTGCTAGCTTAGCAGCCAGTTCACGTGGAAGACCCATTCTCACACCACCGTCTAGACAATAAGACACTTGCATTTATGGGGGCAATTAAAGAAATTTTTGAAACGAAACACTTTTTAAATTTTAAATCAGAACAACTAATTAGCTATCAAAAAATGGAGATGATAACCAAAAGGCATAGATACTGCCCGCTTAAAGGTTACCCTTTTCAACATACGCACAAATTTTGAATATATTAGTAAGTAACAATGAGAACAAGCGAAAACATAAAAACTATGAAAAAATGCTGTTAAGCAAAAAACAGGGTTTTTATTGCCTTGCGAGTTTCAGCAACAAATTGCAGGTTCAGGTCAGCTACAGCAAGCCATTAATAAAAAAATATTAGAAAAAAGTTTATTCCCACGTAGAAAAGAAATAACATTGCCACTGACAGTTGGAAAAGAGTAATGACTTGTTATTTGGAAAAAAACTGTTGGAAACTGTTTTAAGTTAGTTTGTGCACGGTCAGTTAGAAAAAAAACTGACTTGTTTTTTCAAAAACCTTCAGCTTTTTAAATTCGAAGAAAAAAATTGTTTGCTTAAAGCTCCTTGAATTTGTAGATCAATTTATGATGGACACTTTTATGTTAAAACTAACCCAATTTGAGAAAACTGGATCAATAGGTTAAACTTTTATTTCGCTGGGAAATCTGATAATTAATTTCCATTTTCGAAATTAGAAGTCGATCACGTTTTTCGTGACCTTTACAATTTTGCTGTTCGATAGTGGAGTTGGCATTCCTTTTAACAATAGAAACACACTGAATTTAAAAATAAATCGCAATTCAAACCGCGAAAAATCAAAAGTGAGCGTGAACAAAATTTAGACTTTTCCTGAAAAAAAAAAAAAAAAACAGCAAGACCTATATAAGAGTCTTCTTCACTACGTTCAATACTCTTAATAACACGTCCACCACCAATGGAAACAAACTGATCTTACCTATAAATGGCCTAGTTAAGTGTGTTGTTCTGCTGTTACTGACCAGTCATGGATTCGATGAAGACGTAGACATAGGCGGGGCCACTGCCACTGAGTCCACACACGGCGTCCATCAGCATCTCCGGCACCTCGTGGATGAAGCCACAGCTGGCAAACAGCTTCTCCACCAGCTTCTTGTCATCCTCCCCCACATTCCCATTGGCAGAGTAGCACCCAGCACCCTGGCCCACTAGCATGGGGGTGTTGGGCATGGAACGGACTACCTTCATAGCAAACAAACAAAACACTTTTTGTATCATTTAAGGATAATAATCGAACAAATATACTATCTAAATTTTAATCAGAAGTATTGTTCATTTGAAAACATTTAAATCTCACACTATTCTCACACTTTTTGAACTCATAATTGATTTTTTTTGTCATTTGTAAGCTATTATTAGACAGGAAATTCCAATACATCAGACAGTAAATCAGCGCTTTCACGAATCCAAATGTCTTGAAAAAAAAGAAACAGCAACTTCATTCTCGAAATAGAAGCCGTGTTGTAATAAAGCAGAAAGGGAGTCTTACTTTAGCGTGCGTTGGCAGTGGTTCGCAGATGAGTGTGAGGGGAAAGCCAGCGATGACAGAGACCAGAATCTGTTCGGGCGACAGCTCCGCCGAGATCTCACGCAACACGCCTGAAAACCAAACGAGAACAGTTTAGCTACCGAGGAGATAAAAATTATCTCACGCTGGATGGTTTAACCTTGTACCTTACGTCTACTTCGATACATCATCGTTGAAACCCACATTACCAAAACATTCAACAATGCTATGTTCAAAAGGCTGTGCAATTCTGATGTTTTGCGAAAATCATCGTAACCACAAACCGAGAGATGCAAAAAATGCATGCTTCCCAGAAATACCTTTAAAACATCAGCGAATCAATTTTATTTTTTTTCTTGATCATAATCCATGTAAATACGGCCATCAAATTAGGCCGATTTGAACAATGTTAGCGCCAGTTTCACCATTTTTCAAATCAGGAAAGAGCTACTTCTCCTTTCAGACATTTAGATCAAAAGAGTATTTGCATGATAATCAACTATATGTTGTAATTTTTTTTACTGTATTCCCGCGATCAATTTTTTTTTGAATTCAGTCAACTGAGTTTCGCAGTTTCAGTTCGGCGGTTGAAAACATTCATGTTACCCGATGCTATATGGTGTTCCCGGTTCGTCTTGAATTCGTCTACAAGAATAAAATGAGGTCATATCACCTTTTTCAAAATAAATTGCGCGATTTATTTGGATACTGTCCGTTTTAGAATTTTGGCAGAATTGGCCTTCCTTTCAAAACTCCAAAAATCCAGTTGGCTCAGGGTGACCACTTTTTTGAGAGAAAAATAGTGACTATGACAATTTTCGAATTTTTTGTCGACCTTTTTTTTAGGTCGATTCGACGTCGACCAAATTAATTTTTCAAGCTCTGCCAAAGCACTAAAAACTCCCTGTTTTGGCCAAAATTTATGTGCCGCAGGCATAATTTTGAATAAACAGGCTGAAAAAGTCGTTTTTAGGCTCTTTCTGAAAAATTTTGAAAAAAAATTGCGTTTTTTTTTTGGCGCGCGCTCCACCCTCAATATTAGTATATATTGCCGCCAAAGGCGCCTTTAGAAAAATTTATTGCCGCCAAAGGCCCCTGAGTTGGCTGAAAGACTCTTGACTCAACTCCAAGTTTATAAATTTGATTTCGAGTTGACAGATCTCAATAGAAAATTAAGTAATTATCGGCGAAACATCTCAATTGTTTAGATCAAAATAGTTTTCATCATTTACTAACGCAAAAAATGATAGATTTAGTGCCTTACAAGATTCATTACGAAAAAACCTGCACAGCTCTCAAAATTGCGATGCTTGAACATAGCCAATCGATGATTGGAAAAGAGTAATGAACTCAAGTAAACATTAAAAAAACACTGACTTTCTTGAAAAAATAGATGCCCTTTAAGCTCTAAGTTTCTAGAACAATTTGTAACTGGCGCTTTTTTGATAACATGAACCCATCTTGAGAAAATTGGATCAATAGGTAAAGTTTTAATTCCGCTGGGAAATCTTAAAAACAAATTCCACTTTCACGATTTTTCGCGCTATTTCTGGTTTCGTATTCGGAAAGTGCTATTTACCTCTCTTTCAGCAGATGAATTTTAATTGAACTCAAAAACTACATATATACCTAAGTGCATCAATATTCTAAGACTTTTTCCTGAAAAACAAAACAAAAAAAAACAGCAAGACCTGTATACGAGTCTTCACTACGCTCATTGCTCTTAATAAGCAGCAAAACTCTTTAGTCTCAAAGCCATTTTCCTACACCAAAAGCTTGCATTTTTCAACTCACAAATTTACAACACAGAAAAAGGCATTTTTCAGTTCGAATTTTACGCCCGTGCATCACAAAAATTTAAGTATGTTCCAATTTTTGACATAAAGGCGAAGCGCAAGAGCACTTAGCGTTACACGACAATGAAGGGAAACAAGCACAGAAGTATAAAAACTTTTTGAAAATTTAAGTTGAAAAGATAACTTTAAAAAATGATGCGAAAGAAAAAACTACAGCTACAAAAACTTCATAATTCTATCGGATGAATTTCATGAACAGTCTTTAAAAAATTGTTTACCGAGCGGCACCAAAGGAGACAAACTTTGGTTCGAAATCTGCTGACAAAGTTTGGGTCGAAATCTGCTGAGTCGAAAAAAATCTTGTCATAATAAATCGCATACGGATATGTTGCCCTCGAACTTACCCAACATAAACACAGAGGCGAGGCTGCGCTTTGCAAACACTTGCTAGAACACGACCAAAAAGGAGCTCTATGAAGTTAAATAAGAAAAAGAAGAAATAAGCCTCGAATTAGCAAATCTCGGCTACGTGTCGGATTCAAATCTGCGAACTACTGCAATCAAAAAACTCTGAGTCTCACGCACTATCCCCTCAGCAACTCAAGCTTAACAACCGACAAACACTAGTCACGAATAAATCAGCTAAATATGCTAACAAATTGCCAATGCGATTCAGCATCAAATACAAATAGACTCAATTTGGCGATTAATAGTTTGGAATATAACAAACTGAAGACATCCACGCTAACTTTGCATGTAACAAATCGCAAAGCATAAAAGCACATTAAGTATAAATTATGCATTTCAAAAAATTGCGAGACACATTGAGTTAAAAAATTTCTGAAATCAAGATTTTATTATTGTGATGTTGTTTGAAACAAATTGCTTTTTTCGGTTCACTTGATGAATTAAAAATGCATCAACTGTGTTCATTTATTACCATTCGAATGTCAAAGCACATGCTATCAAAAAGCTGTAGAAGGGCCCCACCATTATTGGGGTGCCGCACCATACAAGCGCAGTTGGAAAAAAAGGTTCGTAATAATACACTAGATTCGCAAGTGTAATAAGTTGACAAAGCCGATATATCATAAACTAAGGCTCTTTAAATATAAAAAAATATGATAACTCAAAATCAGACTTGAAAAATTACAAATTAGTGAACTTTCAGTTATCGTAAAAAAATGTTCGAATCGGAACAAAATACACGCTTCAAAAAGTGAGCCAATGAAAACCACACCCAATTATTTTTCTTCACAAAAGGCGTTTAAAAAAACGGAAAATGAACTGACAGAAACTATGAAGAAAACCACAAACCCTAAAAAAATCAATACAACCTGAAACGGGCTCTTCCTAAATACTTCAATTATAGTCGTTTTGTTTGAATTTTCAAAAAATTGAGTATGACAGAAAATGAAGGAGTACAGATGAAATGATTCCTGTGAACAAAGTTATTTACGGGGAAATGTCTAGTCCCGATTGCAATACCCTTGCGTATAAAAATTACGGAACATTTTAGCTCGAGTGGTTTTTATCTTTTTATACCGTCCAAAAGATTTCGATGTCCTGGGCTCGAAATTTCCATTGCGCTCAAAATACATATGAAAGGGACTCTAAGTGGCAGAAGTAACGAATGGCCAAAATCTTCAAAACAAACTCATATTCTCTTCGAGGTTTTTGAATACTGAATTCTGATTAGCTGACATAATTTCATTTAGTCCTGCTGCCAAGAATGATTAGCCAACACCATAGGGATTAAAGCTCACCTAAAGAGTGGACTCCTTTAGTCATGAGGAATACAACGTCACTACCCTTCACGCACTCTTTGTTGTCATGGGTGATCTTGGACCCCTGCGCTCTGAATGCATGTAATTGATTGGCCATGCCCAGTCTGTCAGGCGCACTTCCCACAATGTTTTCCGCTTTGACTGTGTTGGTCCTGACCAGTCCCTTGGCCAGTGCAATCGCCATCTTTCCAGCACCCACTATCGATATCTTCATCTTCACGCTATAGTATCCACAGGGATAAAAGAAGAAGCAATGGTAGTAGTAGTAGTCTAGTTAGTGAAAGTGAAGACAGATGATGACTAATTGGTCATACTAGATAAATGGTTAGTGATATGGCGTCTCATCGGACCAAAAACAATCTGAAAACAAAAAAAACAACTGAGAAAAAAATGAAGATCTCCTAGCATGGAAGAAGTATTAACAGTACATATAGTTGCCTAGTCGTCAATTTGCTAACAGGCAACTCGAACATGGAATGGAAAACATTAAACTTCAAACATTTGCAATATTTATAGAATTATACAGATGTGTCAATCACAAAATAACAACTATCACTAAAGTATGTAAGAAATAAACTATACAAATGTATATACTTGTATACACAATAAAACCAATTTAGATATGCCATCTTATTACCTCCATGTGCCTATTTTGACCAACTTTAAACTTTATTCAGAGTAAACATCAGTTCGAAGTTCGTTTGTTTCAAAAATAAAACTCATTAACACCAAAAAAATCGGCCCTTGCAATGTTAAATCCACATAACAATGGCAGCTTTAGATCAGAATAAGTTTCCACGAACATAACCCAAAAAACAACAAAAAAGCGCCAGTTTTGAGTTGATTGATCATCAGAAAAAAAACAATTGCGTCTCCTCCGTCCAACTACAATTAGTTTTGTCTGACTTTGAAACTAGTTGGAAATGCGTCTGACAGCATGCCTGTCATGTGAACTACAAATCTCTCAAATGCACTCTTGCGTCGTAGTCTACCCCGTGGTCTCCATAGTAGCCTTCTTCTTGGTGTCCATCTCGGTTCTCCTCACTCTCCTGTTTCGCCCTCAACGCCACCATCTCAGTCTCCAGCTCCTCTAAGGCTTCTGATATAAATACATACATGACACATTAACATCGCGCACACAAATGCCTAGATAGTAGCAAAAAATTTCAGTTTTTTTTAAATAAGTTAGCGCTGAAATAAAATAGCTAACAGACGGTTGGAAAAATTGGAATTTGTTAACATTTACCCCTTAATGCAAAACGGGGAGATTCATTGCAAGGTACCAAAATTACATATCCTTCATCTTTGCTTTGCTTTAGTATAGGGCTAACAATTCTTTACTGGGTACCAGAGATGGATAATTAACAAAATCTGAAAAAGAAGATCTGAAAGATTTACTCCACTTAAGAGGAAACAAAAATTGCCCAACCTTTTCAATTGAAAGGTAGTTACCTTTAGAGGTCATGGATTTCAAGATATCGTTCTCCTTTTTCAATAAATGAAATTCCTGAAAAAGAACGATGTTTAGATTCAAAATCAGCGGTTCAAATTCAAACTGCCCATTGGTAACTAACTTACCCTTTCGCACTTCTCTTGTGATTCGAATTTTTTAGGTTCTTCTTTGGCGATGAATTCTGAATACTTCTCAATATCCGTGGGACTCAACGTCAGACCTTCTTGAGCAAACATCATTTTAAGCAATTCGTCGTATACCTGAAATGGAAGCAAATTAAAAGCATTTGACTGGGGTTGGATTTGAAAAGAAAGTATTATGTCAGGAACCATTCAGCATACTCGGGCTCCACGCACTTTGATATTATTTCACAAAATCCAACTTAAACACAGAGACGCGAAAGGATCTTCGCACCACTTGCGATATAACGCACGCATAGCATTGCAAGCTAGCGTATAGAAAATGAGACAAAAATCACGTCGAAAAAAATCACGACAAAATGAGTCGAAAAAAATTGAATGTTTGACAAAACGAAAGTTTCAATTTCAGACAGAGAGACGAAGCTGAGTTTTGCACCACTTTCGATACAAAATCAATGCTCATGATTGAAATCAAATGAAAAGAAATATTGAAAAAAAAACGTTCAAAAATAGTTCTTTTCAATAAAAAAGCGAAAATATCCGGAACAAAATTACCTGCACCAATGAAAGCTAAGGAAGCTGTCGGATTACTAGAAAGAAGCCGCATTATTGAAAATCCCTTCCTGCGTAACTAAGCCAACAAAAATAATCAGACAGACAACAATCTTAACTAGCCGAAATCAGTTTGCAAAAAACAGGTCATTAGAATCGAGCTCCTGGGCGTTATCGTCTCAAGCATGGGTGTTGCAGCAACTTGGAAGAAAGCTGAACCTTCAAAAAAAGTCGGGTTACCGGTATAAGCCGACAAAAAGAACCAGAGACGATTGTCCGAAAAAGCACAAAAACTTGAGTTTGCAAAAAATTCTAAAAATCTAAACTAATTTAAAAAATTTCGAGTCCCTTGTTCCCCTCAGTAAACAAAAACCTTTTTCGGTCATTAAACGACACAATCAGAGGCCACTAAAACTATATGAAACAAGCCAAAACCTATTAAGCCGCAAAACAGACAAACAAATCGAGTTGGTAAAACTAAAATCAACATGAAAAGCAGATTTCACAAGCACAAAAGCAGATTTCACAATCGAAATCTGCTTTTTCTTGGGTGTATTTTTATCAACTCGATTTGTTAAAACTTCATTTTCCCAAACTTTTTGTCTTTTTTTTGCTATATAAGCTTCGACTTATTTTACATTGTCTTGGTGGCCCCTCATTGCTCCATTTAATTAAGAAAAAATCAAAATTAGATTTCAGAGAATTTTTTTTCTTAACTTCCTGATAATTTTTTCAAGCGAAAGACTATTGAATCAAAATTAAGCATAGAGACGAAGAATGAACTGAAAGCTGCAATAACGCAGTAATTAGTTGTAGCTAAAAACGTATAAACTAAATAAAACAAGGATATCCGTTTACAGTGCAAGTAGCACAGAATGTTCCGACCATAGTCTTAAAAAATATAAAACGTTTTTTTTTCTTCAAATTAGGGTCGTTTTTATTCGGCAAGGTAGGATAAGAGCAGCTGAACGAAAAATTGGGATCAGGTATATTCGTCAACCAGAGTAAAATCAGCAAACTGAAAATCCTTTTTGTATAAAAATTACAAGAAAAACGAAAAAAAAAATCAAAAACATTTTCGAAAATTTTTCAAGTTGTTTTCGCAGTTTTTTGAATTTTTAGCAAATTTTGATTCCAAAAAGGCGCTAAATTACTCAAAGTAAACTAACACTACTGAAGTAAAACTAAGTTTTAACGTTTTAAATTAAGCTATTGTAAGCTTTTAAGCAACCAAAATAAGACTCCTCGCTCGCGCTTTGTTAGCTCGAAATAAGACGAAAAATCAAAAATTTCAAACCAGTTTTTCTGGACACTAGGAAAAATTCAAAATTGTTTTTAATATGGTTCGAAACACGACTGTACGGGCTTTCATATGATATATCACTCAACCAAGTCCTATGATTATTTATTTGCGGTACCTGATTTTGCGTGGAAAAAACTATAACACACCCGAATACAAAGTTCCTCCCCATTTTCAAAGGTTGGAACAAAATGGGCGGCAGCTTCAACCAGTTGGTCCCAAAATAACACATCGCACGCAGTTAAAAAAACAGCGCTTTTCCCTATGCTATAGTCACAGCTTTTTTAGTCGAGCACGCAAAACCTACTAGACGAAACCTGAAGAAGCATTCGATAGGAGCTGAACAAAGCACCAACGGATTCTTTAACCTAGTCAGATAAATTATACTTTAAGAACCACTACACCAATTTCATTTCGTTCTGCCAAGTTGAAGTTTACGGTAATTTCAAATAACTACATAATTTTATTCGCAGATCAATTCTAAAATTTTGAGTAATTGAAAATTACAGAACTGAGAAGTTATTCGAAAACTAAACAGGATGCAAAGTTGTAGTAGTGTGCGGTGACATGCTCTGACCTGTCTGTTGATGAGTCCTCGGGAGTAATGAGTCTCCATCAGATCCCACTTGTTCTGCAACACTTCACTTAAGAACGGATACACTGAAACACACGCACACAGTCACATACCGAATCAATGAAACTATCAGTAGGAAACTTCGGATCAATAAATGAAAAATATATAGGAAATTCTGATTAATATAGCAATGATGATTAATGCAATGACTTCTTTCTAATTTTTTGACAGTAAATTATATGTTTCGAGGGGCCGATATTATGGGGGGCATGTTGAGGTCTATGAAGAAGTGCATTTGTTCTACAGGTGGCTGTGGGAGGGGGCGGGGCGGTTTGCCGACAATTATTTGGTGCATAAAACTTACCTAGTAGTGCGTCTGTGTTGCAGAATGTAGGTCCTTGCATGTTGAACACATAGTGACATTTCTCCACCTCTTCCACAGATCGCAACACATTCTGATGGCCACACTCGAACAGCACCTGGAGCAGCAGACAAAAAAGACTATAATTTAACCAGGAAAGAAGAATTAACAGTGCTACTCGTCTAATTTCGATAGAAAGATTTAAAAGTGCATAATTTGAGTAATGTCTCAACAAAAATTCACATTGATAGGCAGATGATTCTATTTGAGTTGTGAGCTGAGTCAAGGTCATAATTACTGAAATTAATAAGAATTGGATGTTGAATCAACCCCAAAATTTCTCGAGAGGCGCCAAATAGTACGTAATTTGGGAGACACGGGCCGAAAAACACCATGCTTGGCCAAATAATGCCCATAAATGTTCTCTAGCCTTTAATTTTTCCAAAAACCGAACGGAAAAAGAGCGACAAAGTTTTCAATTTTTATAAAAATGTATTCCTTAACCCCTCTCCCACTTCGAGAAAAACTTAGATCCACTCTGGAAAAAATTGAGCAGAAGTTGATGAGATGTAGATAATTTTCTCTAACCTTGACTTCTCTGGACTGTCCCTCACAGGGGTCTCCGGCGTAGAATTGCCATCCCTTGTAGGTATTATTCTCTATGATCCAACCGTGCCAAGTACTAAACACACCACACATGTCAATATAAGTCCAGTCAATACTCAATGCCAGATATGTCGACAATTCGCCTTTCTGCCATGATGAGCTTTACTTCGGCATGACAGAAGATCAAATCTATTCTAAGTTATAAATATGGCGACTTTAAAAAGATAGGTAACAAGATCATTTGACTTAAAGCAATACATTATGGATTTTGATAGATTTTTTCGAATTAAATAAATCAGAACTGAACCGTTTTCAGGAATCTTTTTTCCATAATTATATTTTTGATAATGAATTCTTACACAAACTGCTCTTTAATTGATGCCCACTCTGGAGACTTTATGTCTCTGCTCTTTAAGTTCTCGAGGTGTCCCACTCGATGAGATGAAATTCTCTTTGGGTCACCCTCCATGCCTTATGATAGTATTCATTACTGTTGTAATGTAGATGGTAAATTAAATTAAAGCCGTTCACGACTCTAACCCTTTATAAAGGTATTCGAATTGAAGAATTTTCCACTATAATCCGGCTCATTTTGCAAGTGGAAATATTATGAGCATGACAAATTTAATGGGCGCCATTAAAGCATTTGCATGTAAAAAATAAAATTTAATTCCAGTAGAATCACAAGCATCATATCAGATTTGGCATCAAACTGTTAACAGTTAATATTAGGGTCAAATGTATCGTGGTATGGTTTGGTGTGATGACTCACTCACCCCAGCACAACATCTACGGCGTCTCCCACTCTTGTGTCCAACTGGGTGACATTGTGGAAGGGACACACAGTGTACACATAGTAGGAGGAGGAAGACACCACCCGCAGACAGAACTCCCCAAAGAACTGCATGTGGGATGGACCTAACAATCATAATACATCACAACACAAATGCACAACACGAAGTATATTAATAAAACATTCATAGCCTATGATTATTTTCTTACCAGTGCTCATTTTCCGACCAGTGCTGTTCCTGTGATATCTTACAGACTTCTTTTATTGGTGTTATGGAGACCCTATGAGTCATAGGGTCTCCATAACACCAATAAAAGAAGTCTGTAAAATATAACTGGAACAGCACTGGTCGGAAAAATAAGACCCCTGATGACTCCAAAAGAGTTCAAAAAGTCAATATAATAAAAAAAAGCGTCGCCAAGCATGGACTACTCATGATCATTCGAATATCCTGACGTAAAATCAAATATTTTATCAATACTTTTTAATATTTATATTTCGGAAAGTGAAGCTGACTTTGACTAACTGACTGAATTTGATTCAATATGTCTGTTCACCTTTGTATGGTTTGCCTGGCACTCTAATGCGGACCTTGGCAGAGATTTCATCTACGGGGGCAGTGTCTACAGCAGCAATGTCCACTTTGGCCGCACTCTCAAACTCCACCACGCTAGCTCCATGACCACCACACAAGAAGCCTAGATAGAACAGACTTTCTTTGTAAGTTTCACTAGAAGACCAAGAACACAGTCAACAGACAGTTGGAAAAACGTCAATGATCTCAAGTAAACAAAAAAAAGATTACTGATTTATTTTTAGACACTTTTCAACTTGGTCGTAGAAAAAATAAAGATCACGTTGAATCTCCTTGAAGTTCGAAAACGTTTTACAGTGGAACTTATTTCATGAAATAGCCTAAGTTGAAATTTAAAAACTTCAAACATTGAAATTAAAAGCTAGCCAATTGCACATTTGTACTTGGAGAGCGGAATTTGCCTGCCTTTTAGGAATGCACTGGAATTGAACTTGAAATCCATAAAATCAAATTTTAAAGCACGAAATATCAAAGATGAGCGCAAACAACTTTCAAGATTTTTTCCTGAAAATAAACAAAACCAACGTAAAAGACTAAAAAATATATTTCAGCTCTATGAAATTCAAGAATTTTTAAGGAGAGACAATTTTTGACAAAGAAGCGAAGCTGCGCTTCGCAAACACTTGCGAGAACACGACCAAAAAGCAGCTTCATCAAGTGAAATCAAAAAGTAGGAATAAGATCGAATAATCAAAAACTCGGCTTCTTGTCGGATTCGACCTGCGACCTAGCAAATTTTAGTCTCGCTCACTAACCACGGATACTTAAAATCCCCAAAAACTAGCCACAATAACGCAGCTACGTATACTAATAAATTGCCAATTCGATACAGCAAAAGTAGCACCAAATACAAAAAGACACAATTTTGCATGTAAAAAATTGAAAGCATAAAGCCAAATTATGTATATATTCATTTCAAAATATCGCGAGATACATTGAGTTGGAAATTTTCTGAAATCGAGCTTTTTATCATTGTGATGCTGTTTGAAACAAATTTTTTTTTGGGTTCATTTGATGAATTAAAATCCATCAGCAGTGTTAACTTTTTACTAATCAAATGTCAAAGCACATTTGATATTACACTGCTACCGCAGCCTACCGATTCAAAAGTGCCACCAAAATTATAACTTTTATTTCAAACTTAAATTGGAAAAAAAGTTCGTACAACTACACTTTGCTTCGCAAGTGTAAATAAAATTATCCCATTTACAGCAAGCTCGATAAAAAGAAAAATTATTTTTCTGCTGGTACTTCAGAAATAAAAAGACAATTTTCGAAATTAGGAGACATTCACGTTTACTTTGCGAAAAAAATCATTGGTATACGTTCAAGTAAAAGCCTGGATCAAATGATGTTTCAAAACAATGATAACACAGAGGCGAAACAATGATAACACAGAAAACTTCGAACTAGATCGATCGATCAGGCTAGCTTTGAAACAACAAGCCAAGACAACAGAATGTGAAACTAGCATCGAAAGAAAAGTTATACCGATGTAACGTCGGAAATACCATAGCGAAACCCTTTAGGCAGAAATTTTAAAAAAAAATCAAGTCCCCCACACCCTCAAACAAACAAAGAAACTTACATACAAACTTTATTCACGCGTCAAATGAAATAATACGCGGCCACTAGGCCGATAAAATATTGACCAAAACCTATTAAGCCAGAAAAAGGGAAAAAAACAAAGCCGAAAAAAAGATGACCAATAAAAAGTTATTAAGTCCCCCTCACCTTCAAAAAACACTCACAGCTCGTCAAACGACGCAATATACTAAGCCGATGCAATATAGGCCAAAATCTATATAGCAAAAAAAGGAAAAGAAAAAACAACATTTTAAGACTAATAAGAAGTTATAAGGTCCCCCTCAACCACAAACTTTTTTCGCCCAACGAAAGGTGCAAAATGCGGCCACTGTACCGATATAATATAGGCTGAAACTTATCAAGCCGAAAAAAAAGAAAACCGAAAAGCCAAAAGAAAATTGTTGTCATGAAAAACTTGAACAATAATTCTCTTTCAAGATTTTGTGCGATCCAGAGGTGAATATAAAACTATGTTTCTTATGAAACGACTCGAAATTAGGCCACTAAGCCTATATAAAATAGGCCCGAGCCTATCAAGTCGAAAGGACAAAAAACACAAAAAATAAAAATTTCACAACCGAGTTCGAAAAATCACAATCATCATAAAAAGCAAATTTTGAAAAGGACGAATATTTAAAATAACAAACTCAACATTGGTCAATATTTGTAATCGAGAGGATTAGAATTGCAAAGAGAACGAAGAAAAGAGGATTTGTGATGGAGTCCAGCAGTGAGTCCGCGGGACAAAATTGTTTACGGAAAAAAAGTCTAGTACCCGACTGCAATACCCATGTTATTTCAAGGGTAATGATGGTTTTCTCTTCTACAAACACACCACCGGGGCACTAAGCCTCACAAAACAATTTATTTCAAAAATCGTCGTATCTCGTACACGAAAAGGTTAGGGCCGAGAGCGGATTTAGGGGAAGGGGGCGGACACCTCCCTCTCAGGGATTCGACACCCTGCCGACCTGAAGGGTCCCCCCTTCGTACTATTTTGTGATATGCATTTTGGTGACGGACTTCAAATTTTTCTAAAAGCGCCTTTGGCGCCAATATATACTAATTTTGAGGGTGCAGCGCGCGCAGAAAAGACTAAATTTTTTGATCAAAACTTTCCAAAAATGCCTAACAAAGCGTTTTTGGCTTTTTTTCAAAAAAAAAGAAGTTTTGGAGAGCTCGGAAAATCAATTTGGTCGACCTGATAAAAAGTTCAGAAATTTTAAAATCTACCCCCTCGAGAAAGTCCTAGATCAGCCCCTGATTAGGGCATTCATACATGGAGGCCACATTTACAACCCCTGGGGAACCCTGGCAGCACCCCACTATTGGACTGTTGTTTTTAAACTCGGTGAAATAACCACTGAATTCAAATTGGAAAATCGAAAACATAGCCAACTAACAGTTGGAAAAGAGTAATGAACGCAAGGAAACTGAAAAAAAATTACTTGTTTTTTCAGAAGACTTCAACTTTTGAATGTCGAAGAAAAAAAATAAAAAGCCTTTAAGCTCTTTGAATTTGTAAAAACAATTTATGATGGACACTTTTTTGTTTAAATTAACCCAATTTGATTGACTACATTTCGCTGGGAAATCTGATAATTAATTTCCATTTTCAAAATTAGAAGTCGATCACGATTTTCGTGACCTGTACATTTGTGCTGTTCGATAGTGGAGTTTGACTTCCTTTTAACAATGGAAATTCACTGAACTTTAAAAGAAATCGCAAGTCAAACCGCGAAAAATCAAAATTGAGCGTGAACAAATTTTAAGACTTTTCCCTGAAAAAAAAAACAAAAAAAAAATCAGCAAGACCTATATAAGAGTTTTGACTACGTTAAAAAATTCTTAAACCATTGCAATATACAATATAGCTTAAACGTGAAAAAAATCCTTTCGTTAAACATGCAAAAATAATACGTTGAAAAAGCTTAAACGTCGCGAGATAGCGAAGCCCGCATTTATTTATATAATATATTTTCAAATTACCTACAATCTAATTGTTGCTTTGAAAGTATCGCACGTATACATAAGAACACTGTTATCATTTTCTTACCAGGAATCAACGCGGTGATCAGAATTGCACTCATGAAATGCCACCTCATTTCGTTCTGAAAAGTAGGATTTACATTTTCAATTCTGTGAACAACTGGCTCATTTTCAAATGAATCGATAGCAAATGAAATTGAAATAAATCTAAAGTCCTATTCCTAATTCGCAAAATTGTTTCTCAACTGAAGTTTCTTCTTGCTTTGATGTCGGTTAATAAAAATTTATTAGATATTTCAGAAACTGGAATCTTTCTGATTTATCATTTTATAAAACTCATGGCTAGTCTTTGATACAAACTGTCCTAATCTATTTTTGAATTAAAATTTATTTACAAGGGCTCAAAAGATAACTGAATTATCTCTACACTAATCACATTGCACAATACTTCTGTCAGATTTAAATCAGACTTTCACATCAACAAGTGTTAATTTCCAAACATATACGCCATTTTCTTTTGTCAGTTTATGCACTCGAACGCTCCTCCCACCATTGAAAAGATTCTTCATGAAGGGATGATTTTCCAGAAGGAACGACAACTTTTCCCTCTGGTTTGATGCGAAGTTCGCCGGCTCAACTTCAGGAGAGGTCGAGCTTCTCTGCAATAAGTTGTAGTCATCCAAACGGAGAAGATTTCTGAAAGGTCAAGGTCAAGTACTTAACACTAAGAGTCCGTGAACATCAAAATTATTCATGTTTTATATCCGGTTGACTCACTTGAAATATGGTTTGTTCATAACAACTTCGAAAGGTTTTAGACGAAGCTCTTCACGTTCCGGTTCGAAAATGAGTGTCCTGAAAGAAAAAAGATAAGCCTGTTACAATTGAATTGAGAAGATCGCCAGCAAATCAAGAATTAAGCATTAATCAAAGCATTAAGCAGATGGATAGAGTTTTTCAGCAGCGATTATTTTTGTCTTTAAATTCGTACGAAATTATGATCACCGGTTTCTATCTTGATCGTCGATTCATTCGAAAATTTAAACTGTTATTTTTTCTTTTAAGTTTGCGAGCTTCAAAGAAAAAACATATCCCCATAAAGCTTTTGAAATTCGAAAACCTATCACGGTTGACTTTTTTGAAAACTAACTAGGGGCAGGCTTTGAGGGGGGGGGGGGGGGTGCGGAAACTCAATCCTTCCCCCGCAGGGATTCGACATCCTCACCAACCAAAGGGTTCCCCCTTTGGTATTATTTTATGACACCCATTTTCGGCTGGCAACCCTAAAAGTTTTATAAAGGCGCCTTTCGGCGCCAATGCATACTAATTTTGAAGGAGGGCAAGCGCCTAAAACGCTATTTTTTGGTTTTTAAATTTGTGAATGAAATTATTTCTCTGCACACAATTTTTCCAAAATTTTAATTTTGAGCCTTTTTAGGAAGCTGTTGGCCAACTTAACTGCATTTTTCGCCACAAGCTGCCATATAACAATAAGTATAAACTGGTGCCGTTATAAAATTTTACCGTCGGTCAACCAAAAATGGATGTGGTTAAATAGTTCAATGAAAAACATTGAAAAAGAAGAAAAAACATCGCCACCCTGCCTGATGGGAGGGAATTCTATCACACAGAGGCGAAGCTTCGCTTTCTAAACACTAGCGAGAACAGGACAAAAAGCAGCTTTATAATAAGAAAAAACAGAATTAAGGTCCGAATAAGTGAAACTTTGCTGCGCATTGGCTTCGAGCCTGCACCCTCGAGAATTCGAGTCTCATGCCTTGCGCTCGCTGCCACGAGCGCTTAACAACCAACAAACACTAGTCACAAATAGAGCAACCAAATATGCTAAAAATTGCCAATTCAATGCAGCAAAAGTGACACCAAATCCAATCAGACCCAATTTTGCAAGTAACAATTTGGAATATAACAAACTGAAGGCATCCACGCTAACTTTGCACGTAATAAATTGGAAAGCATAAAGCTACATTATGTATAAAATATTCACTTCAAAAAAAATGAGAAAATTTCTAAAACCGAGCTTTATAATTGTTGTTGTTTGAAACAAATAGTTTCTTTTCGTTCTTTCGATGAATTAAAAATGCCTCAAATGCGTTAACTTAATACTATTCGAATGTCAAAGAACATGCTATCAAAAAGCCGTAAAAGTGCAATCAAAAGTGGCATCAGTATTTGCAACTTAACCCAGAAAAAAAATAGTAATACTATAACACTCAGGGGCGGGTCTAGGATTTTCTTTTCGTTCTAGGGGGATTTCAAAAAAAAATTTGTCGACCTTTTTTTTTAGCCAATCAAATTGAATTTTAGAGCTCTCCCGAAGTATTAAAAGCCCCTCTTTTGGCCACATTTTCTGCACCGCAGGCAAAAGTTTGAAAGAACAGGCCGAAAACGGCTTTTTTAGGCACTTTTTGGAAAATATTGACCAAAAAATCGCATTTTTTGGCGCGCTACCCCCTCAAAATTAGTTTATATTGGCGCCAAAGGCGCCTTTAAAAAAATTTTAGGGTCCTTCACCAAAAACGGATATCTCAAAAAAGTACAAAGAGGGAGCCTCCCCCTTAATCCACCCCTGATCACACTAACGCTCACTAAATTTCGCTACTGTAACCAGTATCGCGTTAAGATGACATGAAAGGCTCCAAGAATAACAATACGGACAAAACCGGGAACTTTTCAGCTTTTTCTTGCAAATTGGTTTTCATAATTGGAGTTTTACACCAAATTGCAATCTGACAATCAACTAATGCTTACAAATGCCTAATTAATACTTACAAATCTCTCTTATAACCTTCTGTATTGTAACCCTGAAATGCGGCCCGCACACAACTGTCAGGGCCGAAAAAGTCTTCAAGATAGGCAGGGAAAACTCTTCCCTCTGAAACTGAGAAGGCTACGCCCATGTGAATGGGTCTCCCATTGGTTCCAGTGTTCGCTTTATAACAGCAAAGAAGCTTCAACTCAAACTAAAACAGTTATTTATGCCAGCCTCTTTATCCGTCTATAGAAAAAGATTCAAAACTCAATTTCATTATCGTCACACAAGTAGTCTTGCTGAACTTTCAATGTCAGATATAATTCTAAGATTAGGCTCATAACAATATTTTTCAGGAAGGTCATATTTGATTTAGCCTACATGGATATCAGAGCTCTTAAGCACTTTGAGAGCTTCTTCTATTGTTTCTTTGGACATTTTGCTCTGCTTCGAATTGGAGTCCCCGTCAAAATATCCTCCGACAGCGTACACTTTCACTGCTTGTAGAGCCCAAAACACAAATAGCCAGATAAGTGAACTGCCAACATCAAATGGAGCATAACTTCTCCATTGCTTGCGATTCTCTTTTGAAAAATCAATATTTATCGACCAATTGTATCCTGCTACCATTTTTCGAGAACCTCAAATTTTTGAAAATTTCTCGTTGTTTTCATTTTTAAATTAGGCGTGAACAACTTGAAAAATTTTCAATACAAAACAAATCAAATAAATAAATGAAAGACACTGTGTACTTAATAACTTAAAAAAGGAGAGCAGCGGGATGCAACCAAAACAGTCTCCAAGCCTATCAATGTGGCCTATCCTTAAACGAAGCACGAACTTGAAACAAACCTACTACGAAAAAGACGGGCAAACAAAAGCCATTCAGCCGAAAACCACGAAGCAAAAATCATGAAACTGAACAAAAACTGAGCGAATACAAAATTTTTACCGTTCTAAAATTAATTTACTTACATTTAATAATTCAGAAAACCAACAACTTCTGTTAAAAAACTGGAAAGCAAACTAATAATCAATTAATGAAACAAATGCAAATCACACCTAAATTAATCATCGAATTACACACAGACGAACCGGAGCTTCACGCAATTTGCCGTACATCACAAACATATCATGGCAAGGGAAACCTGAAAAATTAAATCTAAATTCTAAATAAAATGCCCATCACGTTTTTCGTGCCCTTCACACTTTTGCTGGTTGATACCGGACTTCGAGTTCCTTTTAAGGAAGGAAATGAACTGAAATTAAAACGAAATCAAAAGTCAAACCGCGAAAAATCGAACTTTAATGTGAACAAATTTTAAGTTTCTCCTGAAAAAAAAAACATTTAAATCTAAATAAGAGTTCTTGATGATTTCATTGACTCTTTATAAGATTATAGCATAGACGCGGCAGTCCTTTTTATCATCATTTTAGGAAGATAGCATCAGTAGCTGTCTTTAGTGTGAAGAAAAAAAATTGCTGACTGCTTGCTACTTATTAACTTACTGAATATCATGTACCAGGCAACACCCTTGTTTCATGCAAAACTTATTGTTCATATTAAAAATTATGACATCGTTCAGACAAATACATAAGGGCAATCCGAATGCAAAAAATGAGCCGATAGTTACTATGCCAAAAAACATCAAATTGAAAAAGAAATCTTCCTCATATTGAACAACGCCAACAGACTTTAGGCTATAGGTTACCGTACTCCAGAAAAACGAAAAACAAACTTTTTTTTTCAATTTCTGTCATAGAAAAGCCATCGCATTGAAGATATTTTAAATAATGGCATTTGGATTTGTGGAAAAAAAAAATATTTTGACTGATTTTGTTTTTCTAAAACAGCTTCTTCTTCTGCAAACTTGATCAGCAGGTATTTTTCAAATTGCGGTAAGAATTAGAAAAATAAAAGCCATATTGGAACTTAATTTGAAACTCAAGTTAAATCAATCTTTCGCGCAATTTGTACTTTGAAACTAGAGAGCGTGACTTGCAATCAAATTAGCAAATAAAGTTGCAGCACCTCAGAAGTCAAACCGTCAAATGATGAACCTCAGTGGAAACTAAGTTTCAGAACTACAGAAAAAACGAGAACTTAAAACCTAAAAAATCACTTCGTTAATCAACAATAAAAAAACCAGCAGTATCTTCAAATTTCAGTCAACGTCCGGACGGACTTAAAATGATTGAAGATTTTGAAATGAGCTCAATTATGAGATACACTGTCCAAACTTCTGTTAAAAGTATTCAAGCCCTCTTGGATAATCCATTTGAATAAAAACCAACAAAAACCATCCGAAAACAATACTGCCTAGATGAGGCAAACACGATTCGCTCGAATT